CCAGCGGCTGACAGCACCCTCCTCGCCGGGGACGGGAACAGGCCCGTGTGTGCACACACGCGTCTGGGAAGCTCCAGGGGAGGCTTTGACATGTACTTTGCACCTGCCATTTAGAACAGAAATTTATTGTTTGCCCTGTTTTAATCTGCTGCTAATGAAGCCGTGACTGTACAAAAGGGTTTCTAAAAAAGCCACGTGCGTCTTCTTCCAGAAAGAAAATTATATGGAGATCTTATGCAAAGCCACCACAGTCGCTTGGGAGGGCCGGAGCTGCCACAGGCACCTGGAGGGCGTTTACCTCAACTTGCTCAGTCTCGTCCGAAGGAAAAGCACAGTCCACAAGGTGAGGCAAGGCTCTCCCCTCGCTGCCCACCGCTCACAGCCCGCGGCCCCTGCGGCACCGACCGCGCCAGGGCCGTACAGCCCTGAGCCCTCAAGCTTTCTGCACGTCCAGCTTCTCTCTCGGTCACCATTTTCGCTGTCGCCCAGTCCTCTCCTGCACCACCATTAGCAGCCGAGACCAGGCTGGAGAACCAGATCCCTCCCCCTGCAAGCATCCTAATGGCCATTTTTTCCTATTACAGGCACCATGTCCCGTGGCAGCAGGCAACACTACTTCACTGAATGATTTCCTAGTGAACTTACGCAGAGTCCTCCAACGATTAGTAAAAGACTAGAGTTTGAAGTGAAAGAACAGTTTGTTTCTGCTTGTTTTTAAACTATAATGACACTGTATTTTTCAAAGATTATTTATAATAATTCTTTAAATAAATGTATTTTTGGACTAAATTTTCTGGCATTGCATAAGATGTTTCTTGGCCAGAAACTGGAGAGCACAGGAGCACGTTTGAGAGCTCGAAGGTGCCAGCTGGAGCATGAGGCACTGGGCTGCAGGACCCGGCTGGCAGCACCTAAGAGCCGAGGAGCCCACAGCTCCTGGAGAGACCCGCTCAGCCCTCTCCCACCACCCCCAGCAGAAATGCCGAAGGGCCCAAGAGGAGGCCACGGCTGGGACAGAGCACCAAGGCCAGTCCAGAAGCAATGGGGACCAGGCTGATGGCAGCAGAGGGAAACTGCAGAGCAGGGAAGAACGGATGGGTATTTTCTACCCACGTTGTTGGAAAGGGGCAAGTTTGTGACTGGGTTGGAAACCAGGGCACAGAGGGGCAGCGCTGACTCCAGAGAGCTGAGCAGCAAGAGGTTCCTAGATGGAACGGGGGCTTTAGAAATAAGGGGGTTTAAAAACCGTGAAGTCAGAAGTCATTTTTGTTACTTTGCCATGTAAGTTGCAAGAAATACATGGGGCTACAGTGAACAGAGTCCAGAATCCACTGGCACAAGGGTGGTGCTGGCTAGAGTCACCAAAACAAAGACCTTGTCCTGCTATGGAGTTAAGGTTTGTACTAACACAAGGAAAGCGGGTCTAAGCAGAGGAAAAAGCCCAAGGGAAGCCACATTGGAGAAGACAGGCCACAAACAGGGCCTGCTTCTGAAAGCTGTGAACTCAGAAGTGTGTGCTAGAGCTGCAAAGAGAGATGCCAGGTCCATAGCGAAGCAGGCCCTTAGTTCTCCCCTCACCTTAGTCTACTTACAGCCTATTATAACCATGTATTTTTATATATGCCATTTATATATGGCATAGCCCTTCGTGGCCCAGGAGTAAAGAGGCTCCAGCAGCAACAGCAGCGACAGAAATAGCAACAGGGAGCAAAACCTCACTGTGGAAGGGATGACTCCAGCCTGCAGCAGACCTGGGCAGTGCTTAAAGCCTTTCCAGCAACAGGGGACTGGAGTCTTGCAGGTATTTAGGTGTCTACCATTTTGCAACTTTGGCACAGCGTGGGAGAGCACTTTGGAAAGTCCCAGGACCGTGCAGGGTTTGGTTCACGCATCAACTGAGTCACAGTACTCAGGGGAGCTGCAAAGTTAGCAGACCACAAAAAACCTGTTACCTACTGCATGAGCAGGCTGAAATGTCTTCCAGAAGAAGAAATGCACTGCAGACCAATACAGTTTATGCAGCAAAGGAAACAGAGCTGAACATTTCCAATTACTGCAGGTAAACTCACACCATCTGCACAAATACAGGGTGTGACAAGCTTGCCATGAAGCACAACGACACTTACAGCCAGAACAGGGTGAAAAGCCTTCTCCCCACCAGCTGTACCACCTATGCAGTGCACACAGGCAAGAAGAGGCAGAACACACACGGCACCGACTATTTCAGTGGACAAGCAGCTGCTCTTGCAGTGCCCTGGCTCAGCTGGGCTCTCCTCTTCCCCCAGGGCAGCTCAGGACAACCCCAGCGGAGGACGGGCTTGAACAAGGGGCTCCTCAGCTCGTTGGGGCACATCCCGTGATCTGCATACCGGCCTCATCCCACTGATCTTCCCCGGAGTCTTGCAAAGTATCCTCCTCTTCTGCCCTGCCTACCTCTTCCGCAGGAGCTTGTCGCCCACCGCCCTGGGGCTTGGCAATGAGGGTCCCCACACACCCCAGTCACTTCTCTAACTTCTCCAGTAAGCACTGTGTATCACAGAGCTATACAGCCTATTTTAGCTACCCTTCCTGACATATCTTCTGACTCAACTGAGTTAGAAAGATGCTGTATGTTAAGTTATTTGAAAAACATGCACAGAGGTGGAACTAGGAATCAAGAATTTTATTTCATGGTATGAACATGCTCCAGGGACACAATACTGATATATACAGTGTAATGAATAAAGTTTAATCATAAAACAAAGAATAAATCAGAAATAAACAGAGTTAGAAAACCAATAAATAGGAAGACAAATTATACAATCAGACTATACAGGACTGGCTAAGCAGAACTGTTGAGAAAGGTGAAAGCTGGACATGTGCAGACAGCGTAAGTCAGTGAAAGGCACTAAGGACCATTTTCCCCTCCTCTTAAAGAAAGGATCAGGAACAAGTTAAATATGAAATAATTCATTTACACAACATTAAACAACATAAAGCATCAAAACCCTCAATGTTAAGGTCTATGTTCTGGAGTGAGGGGACTCTTCTGGCAGCAAGATGCAAAGATGAGCACGCACAATATATATATTACGGTAATATGATTTTTGATAAATACTATAGAGCACATCCTGACCTGGGATGAGAATGGCTGTATTAAGCTCTTAAACCCACACAAACCAAACCCCTTCCTCATTAAAACATGTTGTGGACCCATGAAACATTCACAGGTTGTCCAGGGCTAGAGAGGGCCCACATGGTAAACCTACACGCCAGACTCCCTGGTTTTAAAAGAAAGTTCCCAGAACTTCAACAAAACACACCAGTTAAAAGGTAAGCCAAGCTGATAGAACATCATGACCATGATAGTGTTCCACTTAAAACAAAGTCCTCTTGTAGGAACAGATAATTTGTTCCCCCAGCCCCTGTAACAGGTTACAACCCGTTTCTCCAATCTGCCAATTACAAAGGTGTGCAAGCAATTATTTAAGTGTTTTCTCCACCCCAAGGCTCACTTAAATATGTAGAATACTATTGTTTCCAGCAGCAGGACTGTAACATTAATTAAATCACAAAGCATATGCCTTTATAGTTAAGTTTTAAATATTTTAAATGCAGTGTCATGGTTCACAGTAGTATCTTTAAGCCACTGATGTCTGTCAGGTAAAAGAATTTTCAATGGTCTTTTTGAAAGCGCAGTTCAGGAGAAACTCCCTTAAAAACAGACCACTCAACAAATCTTAGCACAAGACGTAACAAAGGGAAACACAGTGTTATCCCCGGTTCTGAGAACTAGTACAGGCCAAAATTATGCAGCTATCTGCTTGGAGACTGAGAACTGACATAAGGCCTAAGACAAAAGAGCATTTAAGCCATTTTCAGTCTGTCTTGTTTGATGAGGAGTGTGTAACACGAGATAACCCAACGCTATCCAAGCACATTCAAAGTAAGGCCAGCTCTTCAAGGGCAAAACCAGCTACAGCTTAGATCAGACAAGAGTTCTGAGTATTTACCTCTAAATGCTAGGCTAGAGAAAACAAATGCCAGTGTTTGGATTTGTATCTTGTATGAACTTAAGTGACAAAGCCAGGTGACGAACCTAGGTGACACTCCCTCCCCCCCAAAACCGGGGGCAGTATGCTCTTCTCTTAGGTCATGATCCTGAAAAACACATTAAAAAGAACAGGGAAAAGCTTACAACTCATTTAGAATAGCACTGAATATATCTCCAGAGCAAAACATGCCCTTACAAGACCAGCTTTAACTATTACAGATCCTGTTACAGAGTCACAAGGTACATCCAGTTAAGCATCACGACAGTAAGAAAGGGATATCAACTTTTAACTACTCTAAGTACTTCACAGGAACATTCTGGTTATTGCAAACGTGGCTACTAGCAAGAACTCAGGACACCTAAGGAGCTATCTTGTTCTTTCTGTCACGCTTAAGGACTCCATTTCTCCTATGAGTAATCACAGCTTTTTAATCCTCTGGGTAACACTAAGGTTACATGGAAGTTACAGCTAATTACCACCGCCCTGGCACGGGAACTGTTGAGATGCCTGCAACTGATGTGCTCCAGCATGAGTTACAAAGCACACACAATCCAGAGGAGATGCATTTTCTCTGTGACACAAAAGCAATGTATTAAAGTGATATGTGTCTATTAGCAGCATAAATATCAAAGAAAAAGAGCAGCCACCACAAATAAATGGTTATCAGAGACCAGAATTTTTTTTCCTCTTAGAGCATAGCCAGAAACCCAAGATGATACAATCTACACAGGAACACAAACAGCATCAGCTATTTCAGGGGATGTTACTGTTCTGGGAAAATTGGGAAATTCATGTCTGTTTTAATATAGGAGAGTCAAATTCACCCTCAGTTTAGAGCACTGGTCCAGTGCCCTTGTATCCAGGGATGAGAAAATGGAGCCGTAATGCTCACAGTCCCAAGGCTAAGCATTCCCCTTCAATAATCTCCGCTGTTCAGATTACAAAACAATTTACATACATTTAAAAAATTCCACCTCAGGAGCATAAAAAGCAGTCAAAGCAATGCTGCAACACAGCCTTAAAAGGAGGGGAAAAAAAGCTCCTTCGCCTTTGCATCAAAGGCCTCACTCTCCACAGTGCCAGCAGATCACACACAAATAGACAAAAATAAAAGCACTACTTAGACACATTTGTTTTCTGTTGCTTCTGTGACTTCTTTCCCAGAAGTCTCAGACTTTGTAGTTCATGTTTCCCCTACCCAGCTACTTTCTTTGTACAGCAAGACAGCAAGTGAAGGGAAGAGGACTGTGTATTTGATACACAATACGATCAGGTTAATAGCCACATTGAGGAATATTTAAATAAAAGGGTTTGATGCTCTTAATTCAAAGGTTTGCAGCAACCACATTCAAAACACAGATCAGTGCAACAGAGGACAATAGTGAAAGCTGCCAGTTATGTGCAAAGCAGGGCATAAATCAGATTTACCAGCCTTAAATTTTAGGATTTCATCAACCGTGTTGAGCTAACATGTCTAGCACTTAAGCACATTATCTAGAACCCTTATTTTCTATACATTTCAACAAGGATTACCAACAAGTTTCCCTGCACAACACGTTTAACACATGGAATTTCACAACCATCATATATACCAGTTTAATATTATGTTAATATAACATACAATACAGGCAACTAAGGAAAAATACATTTTTTTTAAAATAAAGCTCCATACCAGCAAGGCATGGATTTTATAGCCATGTCAAACTGTGCCATCTCTTGAATTCCATATTCTGACCAAATCTTATACACTCACTGATTTTTTTACAGCAATTCTGAACAGGTCACACCTACTGCAGCAGAGAGTCAATGACGGCTCCTGGCTTTGCTGAACGTTTTCTGTTTGGAGAGCAGAAAGGAAAGGGAAAAATAACACCATACACACATCATTATGCTGTCTAGGAAAGACAGGGACCAGCCACATTTCAAGTCAAAACTACACAATGTTACTCTTCCACAAGCATTTGTCAAAACCAACCAAACAAAAATAACCGAGAAAACCCATGCTGAAATCTCCCCCAACAGCACGTTACTTTCCAGTAATAACAGTATATGCACTGTCAATGTGTCAAACTGAACCACAGGACACAGTAAAATAAAGCAAGAAGCTGGAAGAGGGAAATGCAGTGAAAGGGCATCAGAAAAATCCCCAGACAAGTCTTTCTGGACAAGATTTTCCTGCAGTAAAGAGATTTCAGCTTGGTTCTGTCACACTTGGCACCAGTAAACTTTATACCGTGCAAAACTTTAGCATTTTGTCTTCTCATTAAGCAAGTGTTTGAAGACTTATGGTAAGTTTGCATGCACAAACTTAAACCTTCCCCTAGGTAAATCCCCCATTACATATAGATACTCCAAAGTTCTTCACCTTCTACCCGTCTTGGGCCTGGATCTTCCTTTTGAAGTCCTCGGCCTCTCCAGCTTCATCAGAGATTGCCTCAAGCTTTCTTCAGTGTAAGCTAAGTAAACATGGGAAAGGTCCACTTCAAAGGGCTAAAAAAACCCAAAAAAACCCACAAAACAAAAACCATCAGAATCATTTTATACATTGATCAATGGTGCTTTTGTAACACTAGAAAGACTTCTCTTCAAAAGAAAAGAAAATTTAAATTGGACAGTCTCCCTGTAAATATGCAGTGGTAGGTACAGGCAGCAGAACTTACACCTATGCAATTCAGTACATGCTTATAAAGAGTCACTCACATCTTTTTCTTTTTTATCCAGGACAGGCGTCTGTTTCCTCATATTGTTTCCTGTATATGCAACACATTTCTTAAAGAAAGAAAGCTCTGTTAGTAAAGTCTACTGTGCACAGTAAAACTGACTACAGCTTTATCGGTTTACTTGATATTTCAACTAAACTCCTCGGAAGCTCGTGCTAACATTAGCTCGTACGTGAGCCAGTCGGCTGGCTTACCAGCTGCCATTCTCCAATGTCTTCATTCCAGTGAACGTAGTTTTCAATCATTTCCTAGAAAGAAATTAGAACAGTAGTTGTTACAGACTTGCACAATCTACACTCCAGATGCATTTTCCAGAACATACATCCCTAAAGGCCTGGACAAGCTGCTTAAGAACAGTCTTGACCGTTCCAAGTTGTTTTCATCAGGACAGCCATACTACGTTCAAAAGCCCCTATTCACACTCTGAAGACTACAGAAGAGAAAAATACCACTCCCAAATTGAATGCATTGCAGTTCCCACTAAAGCATGGGTTTCCCATTATGCCAATGCCATCAGGATAGCAATAAACAAATTGTAATATGGAAAAAAATGAAATATTAAGGGAAATAGCTTTTATATTTTCTATTAAATAGCATGCATCATATTTAAGCTTATCATGAATTTTCTGAACGTTAGGGACACAAAGAAAACAAGAAGTGAAGAGTTCCAAGTTCAGTCTTACTACGTTCTATTGGTATCAGACATCAGCAAGCACAACTTCAAGCACAGTGGAAAAAAGAGAACAGACCCAGAGCATGGGCACACGGTGAATATACCAGTTAAATACATGGTGAATGTGATTTTTTTTTTAAGCCATTAGGAAAACATGCTGCAAGAGAACTGAGATTAATATATCACTCTGCTTACAACCCCCACCACATCACACACTGCTTCCCTAAAACAAATTCCATAACCATGGAATTGTAGCCAAAGTTATCAAAACCCCTGAGAAATACAACAAAGCCATTCTGCATTCGTTATTCACATTGTTGTGCTGCTTTTAGAGCTAAATGCACCCACTAACTCTGATCTCCTTCCAATTGAACTTCAAGCAGAAGTCCACCAGGTTACAAGAGTCACTTGACAAAAGCATCTTTTCCTACTTTAACATCACCTGGTTCTAACAATCCAGATAATGGCACAAACACATGAACGCAACCAAGTTGCACCTGCTCGGCTGAGCCACAGCAAACAAAGGCTCACAGCAATACACACCAACTCATTTGTGCTACAACTTAACAGACAAGTGTCAATGAGTTCACTGTGAATACCTCATGAAGAGAAGAGAAGCCAACTCATTCCATTTGTTGGACAGAATAAAAGCTAGAGGGCTCAGCGTGCATAGCACAATCCTACGCCACAGGCTTCGGTTCTTTATCTTTACCTGGTAGTCCTGAGGAATGAAGTTGTCTATGATAAGCATCTGAAGACGAAGTTCCCTGCTCAGCTGCCGAATATTCTCTAGTAATCCTTCAATCTCTCTCTGATGCTCTTGCTGCAGATCTGCCATCTGAAGACAAACCAGGCATTTGAGAGGCATCAGAGCTAGCTTAAGACATGCTAACAGCCTAAAAGAGAACAGTCTTCTGCCTACACAAGGTTTTTGGGAAACAAAAGCAAACTCTGATTATAAGTACTAGAATATTTATCTCTGAAGAATAAACCATCTGAAACCTTTCAGCTCAGAGATGGCTGAAAATAGCATTAAGTTCTCAGTTTCATAAAAACGAAACTGGCCTTCTGCCAATCCAGGCTCTGCACCAGCTAAGAGCAGATGAAGAGTGTGCAGACAAGTTATATCCCTGGCAAGATTTCAAGGAAAATCTCCGATCCCTAAGACAAAATGCACTTTTCATGAAACAGGAACTCTAGACACCAGCCAAAGGACACATTGATCCAGTGACTGAGGAAGAGAGAACAAGGGCAACAGGCAGAAAGGACAGACAGCTAAGAGCAGAGGAGCATTTGGGCTGCTGCAAAGCAGGAGATCGGGCTGCCAGCAAACAACTTTTTTCTTTCAGAAATAACCAGTGTTTCTCCTTGAAGTTCTGAATATCTCAGGGTCTCACACATACCCCCTCAGCCTGGCTTGGGGAAAAACTCTACAACATGCCCCTGTGCAGCTCTGACACCAGACTTAGTTATCTTTTTGAGTTATGTGAACCAAATGGACAGCACAAAAAGTCATTTCTAAACATATGGCACTTTTTCCAGTGTTACAAGGGTAAGCTGATGGCTTTACCCTTCCCAGCTATAGTCTCTCACATCATCATAGGCTGAGGACTTCAGACACTAACCTCCGATTTTGCAGCCATAAGCATGGTCCAAACTTTCTTCAGCTTTTTGGTTTTCCCCTGTGCTTCTTCCTGGAGGCTGGTGTACTTCTCCTCGATGTCCAAGCGTTCTTGCTGTGTGCAACATTTAGCACAGACATCCACACATTAACATAATCAAAGAAACTCTCTGCAATAGTATGAACAAAAGGAGAAACTACTTGAACAAAACAAAGCATTTGCCAAGGGCACGGAGACCTGGCTTAGCCAGGCTGGTTCAGACCCACAGCCATGGCACTGCCAACGCGTGGCCTCCGAAGTGGTTAGCTTCTGCTGTGCTTTCAGAGTAGAGCACATCTCATCCACGTAAGCAATGCCAAGGCACACAACACTGTATCCTGCCATTGCTGTTTTCAGACAGCTACAGCATATAACCCCACCTCCTTCTCCTCAAGCTCCTTGCGAAGCTGTTCTGCTCTCTTCCTTCGTTCTTCCAGTTCCATATTCGATTCTTCTAGAAGCTTCTCTTGCTCCTCTGCTTTTGCCAGCAAGTCCACTCCTCCCACAATCACCTTCTTCTCCAATGCAGACAGTTTCTCCAACAGGGACTGGTGTTCTTGTCTAGAGAGACAGGTAAGTGAAAAACTTCCTATCCTACAGTGCTCACAAGGCAGCAGGTCCAGCTCAGTTTTACAGCCCAGACAGCATTCACGGGGCTGGAAAAACTTGTCTTGCTGCCAAGGGTTTAAGTGGGGGTGAGGCAGTGCAAGTGAATGCAGGGAGTTCCCCGAGCTCCAGCTCCCATCACTTCCTCGCAAGCAAAGCCAGGTCAGCACAGAAGTCTCTCCTGCTGCAAGTCTCCTCTATGAGGGGCTGCAAGGCACCAGCGATATTACCAGGCTACCCGAGGCACCCCTTCCCCGAGGGCCCTGCCAGCACAGTGATGCCCAGAGGCAGCTGCAGAAATGGAAGCAAGCGAACAGAGATCAAGATGCAAACCAGGAATGCTGGCTGCTGTTGGAGCAGCCTCTGACAGCAGGACTGTCCTATCTGCATGGGACAGTGCAATCTCAGCAGCTTCTCAGCTCCAGAGCTGAGAACCCCTACACCCAAAATGACATGCTCGTGACAGTGTGCTGCAGGAAACCTGGCTTGCTACACAGCTATTTGCTCACTGACCAAGCAGTACAGCAGTATTGCTGCTCTTCACAGGTCTCCAGGGTTTGGAGGATTCATTTATGTTTCTAGGCTATCTTGCACAACTAGATAAAGTTAAGAGAAGAAAGAAGTGGCAAAAGGATAAAATTTGTCTTTTCCATCTGCTCTAAACTCTGAAAGCAGAGTAAACTCCTCATTCACTTTGATAATAGCAAGAGCTGATGTTCAGTTTATACAAAGTTTGACAGGCACCTTATCATGTATCTCCAGATATCCATAACTGAGTTGTAGATTAAGGAAGGAAAAACCCACACGACCACACAAACTGCTCAGAGCAGGGTACTCACTGAGCTTTAAGCAAGTCTTTTTCTCTCTTCTCCAGTTCAGCTCTGGCTTTATTTCTTTCTTCTTCTTCCATATCAAGCTTAGTTTCAAGAGCTTTTCTCTCCTCTTCAATCTTTGCCTGCATCTCTACCATCTTATCAGGGGAAACCTTCTTTTTGCCTTTGGAAGAGATAGGGAAAACAAGTTAGTTCACAGAAAAATAAGACAGCCTCTGTATCACAGCATTTTTTCCAAGTTCAGATTCAATACTTGCATTTAAGAATAAATTTATTAGATGTCAGCTCCAAGCTGGGCACAACTCAGTCTTTCAAATCCCATTTTAACATTGACCAGTTCCTACAGAGAAGGAACACTATATAACTAACACTATAACATAATGCCCCCAAAATAGAAAACACACGAAGAACACTTGGAGAAGGAACACTGCCTAAAGAGAAGTCTGAGCTGGAAACTCAGATGTTCTAACTCTGTAGATTAGGCCAAATAAAGGAAAACAGAAGACTGCCTTGGTCTTGACCTACAGCTACAAGAGCTAAGCTACCAAGAGTTACATACTCAAATTTCAGATTAGCATCCCCATCACACCCCTCGTTCATTGTCCTCCTTACGGGGTCACCTATTGCAAAGTCAGCACACAGATATTTTAAGAATGCACTACTATGAAAATACAGAGACTAGAGAAATTCAGAACAGCCCTATGAAAAAAACAGACAATTAAAGAAACTTTTTCATGGTATTCCATCTATGCAACAGTGACTACCCACAGCTTTGAAAGTACTGAGGTTTGCTGCGACTTATCAATTGTGTCTTTACAGTAACTACTATTACAGCAAACCAGGTACATTTCATAGAGGGTTACAAAGGAAGTGGCCACAGCAACTCATTGAACCTATTGGCCTCAAGGGCTGGACCCAAACACCTGTGATTTTGAAACAAAGTGTGAGGCTGCTGCTCTTGGAAGTCACTCCGCAAGTCTTCCGTCAACTTTCATTGTAATCCCAAGAGTGCCTAAGGCAGGTGAACAGAGATCCTGGGGGGCGTTATTTGGACTGAGAGAGAACCCAGCCTGTGTGCATTTCCTCAAGTCCAGCCTGTGTGCATTTCCTCAAGTCCACAAGTCTCCCACAAGTCCTAAATCTCCCTTTATTCACTACAAGCAAATCCTTCATTTTTTGTTTTCCTCTTCGAGATATAGAAGACCCCCATAGAATCCAGATGCCTGGAAACTAAAAAGCCATCGACTGTCAAGGCACTGTTTTTCAGTGACATAATGCATACGGTCAGAACATGCTCAAGAATGTTGTTCAATAAAAGGCTTCTCTTCCCTCCAGTCTTCGTGGCATTCAGCTTTATTTATATACATATATGACCACTAGCAGACAGAAAATGCACTGTATTTGTAAACGTGCATGCACATACACACATATCTGTATGCATGTTTGTTCATGCACACAAGAGAATACAGTTAGTTTTGTGGCAAGGTAAGGACTTCAGCACTACAGCAAACATATCTTAGTTTCCATCTGCTAAACTTAGGAATCAGATAATAAGCACTTATTTCTGGATCTGTGGTGAAAAAGTGTCTCACTAATTAGTCTGAGTAAGAATCTTTCTGAAAGTGCTATACATAGATCATCATATAAAAAGAGATAGCCAGATAAAGGCTTCTTACTGTTAGTACACATCCCTATATATTCTCAGTTTAGGAGAAAAAGGTGAACTAAACCAAGTTGTAAAACCCTTTCACAAGCTCTGCAATTCTATTATAAGGAGGAGGAAATCAATTACACCAACCTGCTTGATCTTGCATTAAGAGGAAGTAGAAAGCAAGTCGCAGAGAGGCAGCATATGCATAAAGAGAGGAGGAAAGAAAATATATTATTGCTTTGATCATTTTGGACAAAGATCACCAGCATCAGAACAAGCATTAATTTTATATGCATGTTTCTAGAGTAGAAAACACAGGATAATCATCACTAAAAAAACCTCCATTAGAGCAAACATTAATGCATCGTGATTTTATGCTAAAGCAGAGAGTTTCTGTACTTCAGAGTGCTTTGCATATCCACGATAATCTTCAGCTCACTCTTGCATTCTTCTGCCCATTCAATGCAATGCAGAATCTAAATGTGACATTATGAGCCTGCCGCAAAGATCATGCCCTAAGAAACAGTTAAAGAGGGTAGATTTCTTCTTCGATAAGAGACTTAATGCTTTCCCCCCCTGCTCAAGATAGCCAATTCTGTCATATTACCTGTAAAATATTAGCATACAGAAGACTTGTTCTAAGTTTTAACCGAGTTTCCAAGCCAATTCTTTGCAAGATACATGACAGTTGCACATAGGGAGTCTCAGCACAAGGTTTCTCCATTTAATTACACAGGGTATTAGTAGGTTAATTTGCAGTAACTGATGCTTCCATAGAGGTATATAGCCAGTTTCAGTTATTCAAGCAAGTGCAGCGAAAAAGGCAGGACAGGAAAGGGATAATGAAAGACACCACATGCAAAAGGGTCACGCTTGAGGACAGTTAATATCCCAAACCACATATAGCCACACTTATCCTAATCACCAAAAGCCCAGTGCAACTTCCACAACAGAGCTGTCTCCAAACTTGCAGGAGATGGACTCATCCACCCACTGCCACATCAGCAGTTTGCTATTAACTGTCCTCGTCCAAATAAAATACTCAGGTTTCAAGCAAGCTTTGAAAGAGCAAGTTTGAAGCAAGCAGATTCCAAGCCTACCATCATATGACCCACTAAAGGTCTCCCCTAGGTTGTGATCCTTCTTAACCTACTACCACACTTTCTCTGAGCTGATGCTTTCCACTAACATAACTAGTATAAATGTGACTGAAATATATAGCAACACTTTCCAGACTCTCTCCACTCAGGGAGGAAAGTGGACTGCATCTATTCAGAATAACCACAACAGTGGGTGAAGTCCCTACAAGCCAAGTCCCGAGGTGTGATTTATTTCTGCAGTCATCACTAATTGATTGTAGGGTTTTTAAAGGCACAGAGCCCTCTCTCTGACCAGGAGCAGACCAGACTTCCCTCACTGCTAGACCAAAATCTAGATCCCTTGCCCCTCTGAACTAAGTCCCACAGTGGTCAAGAACTTAATGTCATGGGGCAGTTAAACCCCAACCACCACCGAGGATTTTTTTTAAGTATCTGCCAAAATAAAGCCAATCAACCAAGCATTACCACGTTTTCTTTGCAAGTATAAACCTCATGTTTAGATTGGTGACTGCTCCATTCATTTTCTGCAAAACTAATTTTGAGAAGGCAGAGTCCAATATAATATAGCACAATCCATTTCACCTGTCTAGCTGTCCTTTTTATGAACTCATATTGTAGCAACTCCCATTAAAAAGTTAGCTCAGACTTTTTTCCTGATATTTGAGGGAGCGCTTAACACAGGAGTTGCAAACTTTTTTAACCTATTATTTATCAATTATCTTTAAATCTTGCTCAAGGAGCATACTAAATTGCTTCCTATTCTCTCACATATCTGGCTAACAATGCGCACATTAAACAACTGTTTCAAGCATGGAAGCAGCAAAGGAAAGGCATGCTTTAGCAGAGTTAAAAGTTCAGGTTTATCTTTCCAACGGACACAGCGGGGAAGAGTGCAGCATTGCAAAATGGAGTGTGCAGATTATGGGAAGGCCAAAGCTTAAAGGACTTAAGAGCTCCCACTCACTAGTGAAGGACTTATCCAGAGGTTTCTCTATGACAGAGCATGTGGAGTCTGAACTACTGCTGCTACTGCCTGGAAAACAGAAATGCGTCCCACAGAAAAACCCAGAGAGGAAGAAACATGCAGATGGGAAGTTAGTTCTAAAGGAAAGAAACCCAGAAGGGCCAGCAACCTGGTTCAAAAAGGCACAAGTTCCCATCAGGAAGCATTTGCTAGGATCCCTCCCAGACTCAGCTTGCAAAGCCACCATTTCCCAGCACAAAATAGCATGCTCAGAAAGACACTTCAGTTAAAACCCATCTTAACCAGCCTACAGCTTAAAACAACATGCCAAGGCAGCTTTCCATTTCAAGCAACAACAGCACAGAAAACCAGATCATAGTGGAGAAGGCTGTGGATATCTGCAGTAGCAGAGGATTCAGTGACCAGGAGTCCCTTCCAGTCTTATGTACACGGCAACGTGCACTTTTCCCTCTGGAAGGCAGAATCAGCTTACACGGGGACAGTTACTATGCGTACTCCTGCTGAGCAGCACCCTTACTTAGGGAACTTAGAGTAGCTTGTTTGGAAGTTGAGTAAGTCACAGTTATTTGCTCTCTACTCCTTTCAAGCAGCATTTTGAAGGTGGTCTCCTCTTGGGAGGAGATTTGGGCAGGACTTGGTTCTTGATGGAGACAGTGGTCAATCTTTTTGCTTCTAGAAATTACCAAAGGTGAAAGATGAAGTTGTTACAACTACCAAAGGCACGACAAAGGTCATTTACAACTCTACTTGGACAGATACCAAAATGAAGAGAGTGCATCTAAACCAGGAATGCTTTAACAGGAATTTTTTTAACAGATATGGGAGCTTCAGGACAGGAAGGCAGTTTGAATGTCAAAATTAGTTTACTAGAGAAGCTGGAAGTTGAGCTTGACTTCCCTACTCCCCATGAAGAAACATCAGAGAGGTTTAGGGGGATAGCAAGCTCCCTGGAAGCCACAGCATCCCATAGTACACAATGACCTGCAGTTCTAGGTTCAGCAACATCCCTTGGGGTTTAGGTGTTACACAGTAGTTTAACAGTGGTGTAGTTTAACACAAAGCAAACTTCACCATGAGATTTCCAGAGTGCTCCCAAGCAAGGGATGTGCAGCTCCCATTCAGCTTTTCAGCTTGCACAAAGACACCCAAAGGTCAACTTTTTCCTCTATCAACATAAAATAGGACACCAGAAGAGTCAGTTACTGAACATCCATAAGACAGATGAATCCTTTGCCTAAACCACAGCCAAAATCCCCCTCCAACCATTCCCATGGTTATAAAAACCCGCATCTGCCTACCATTGATCGCTGGTGTCTTCTTCCTCCCACCTCTGTGAGCAGGGGAAGTTCCACAACACCAGTCACAAGCCATACACAGCCACCTTGCGGCAACCAGAGAGCCACCACAAAAGAGGGTGTTACCACAAGCACAACTACCCAAGTGGAAGCAGATACTACACAGGTTCAGAGCTGTCCATCTACGGAGACGGCACCAAATAGCTTCGTTTCTAGGAGAGGCATGATAATTGCAGCGGCAGTAGGGCAGCTCTACAACTCTACTTTTCCCCGCCTGGCTCTGGCTATAGTTTCTGACACCAGCTGCTGGTTAAGAGGAGATTGGTGGCACTGACAGGAGTCTCTACTGCCTTACCCCGCCGTTTCTTCCGCTTCTCCCCATCCTCTCCAATCTCCCCATCGTCATCTTCATCCTCCTCTTCAGAATCACTGGTCTCGGAACCAGATATCTCTTCCCCTAGAACAGAAGAGTGCTTTTTGATGCACTTTCCTTCACCTCATATCAGCTTGTTACTGTGACAGCAGCATTTGTCCAAACCCAGCAGTGTTCTACATCAGCTTATGAGCACCTGCAGAAGTCATTAGCTGTTGAGCAGAGACAGCTTGCCATGGCTCAGGAAACTTAAGGAAAATAAGCAATTTGATGCTGTGAAGTCAGTGTGTATATGTTAAAGCTCAAGTGGGTGCTTTTCATGGGAATGAAAGTATCCTTGCACTGCTGAAGCATTAAGCTACAAAATTTTCCTAGCAGGATCTCCCCATACCTTCTCTTCCATCTCAGATGGAGGAGAAAACAGCCAAATGAACAAAGTTCACACAGACTTACTACTTAATCAGACACCTGTATACATGAAGCTAGATGGCTGTTAATTGAGAAAATGGCCAGTTTCACAAGTGTTTCTCATTGTTGCCATTGCAGACACAATGCTCAGATGTTTCAGGCTGTGTTTGGAAACCAAACTGAATAGAATCCAACATTTAACATCCTGGCCTCCTAGTAATGTTAGCAAACATAAGGCTGTTTGTTCCGTAGCTTAGAGTCTAAAATTTAAGAAGCCACCCTCAGCCCACCAGGGATGAAACAGCTACACCCAGCTCCCAACCCTTGAAGAAAGCGTTACTGACCATTTCCTGCTTCTCCTGAACGAGGCAGACTCCAAAAGGCAAGCCATGTTGGAGTTACTGCTACAGCTGTTCCATGCTGTGAGCATCTCTCCAGAGAGAGATGTTGTGCCAAAGTCACTGTTTAGTGAGCATCCCTCTGGCAAGGTCTTTCGACATTGATGGACTAATAGTGTCACAAGGCCATGAAGTTACAGGGCTTAAAGAAGCTTCTTGTTTCTCTATGCATTGTTTGAAAGTCAGCCCCAGTCCTAGCTCCACAAATTTGGTTCATTTTTCTCCCAAATAACGCATCCCTCCTCCTCAAACAGGGAAAACATTTGACCTTTTGTCATGGTACATTTTAATTCCCTACACTGTGTCCAGCGGTGCTCAGAGCCCTGCTGCTCACCAGGCGAGCCCGGGCACACTTAACTCAGCCCAGAAGCCACCACTTATCCTAGTGCCAAGTGCCACCTAGTGGGCAAAGCCGGGCCCCTGCCGGGCCCCCGCCAGCACCCTGCTGCCCTTGAGACACCTCTCCCAGAACCGAGCAGGGCAAACAAAACCAGGGCACTGACCAGCTACTAAACTCGTGTGACACATCGTCAAACAGTGAAGAATGTTCACGCTCAAACAGAATGAGCATTGGCATAGAGAGAAACGCTAGGCAGAAGGAAAATCTCACCTTCTTCCAGTTTTTTCTTAAGCTCTTCAATTTCTTTTTGAAACTGGCGGAGCAAAGCATCTTTGGGATCTTCATTAATCCTGGCCTTGTTCTTTATGTTCTTGGCCCGGTTTGCATACCTGAGAGTGCTGATAGTCTCATCGTAGTTGTAGTCTGCTGGACCAATGTTTGCACACTGTGACACATGGAAGACCGAGTTACTGGAGGACAGAGTGCCAGAGCCCAGAACAAGTAATTTCACAGGGACCCATCCCCAGCTCTGCCAATCTCACACTGCTACTCTTTCCCAAGCTTTCCTGCTGCTTCTACACCAAAGCTGCTTTTGGCTACCCAAGCACAGCTTCTATTTGATCTTATGCACGTGTGTACATCTGCACTATGTTTAGAACCTCATCTGTACAGGGGCAAAGAGAAAAAAGACAGACAAAGATGCACATAAGAGGTTCTCTAAGCTGCAAACAGCTCTGAAATAAAGAGGTAAATGCCAGGCTGTTCTCATGCCAAAGTCACTATGCTATCCCTGTAAAAATGCAGCTCGATCGCTGGCACTGGAAAGGGCATCTCAGCTTACCATCATGGTTTTGGAGTTGCCCCCCAGGGAATCCTGAAGGAGACGTGTAAGTTTGGAGTTACGGTAGGGCACATGGGTGCTCTTGCCATCCACCAGCGCAGAGATAACGTTCCCCAGCGTGGAAAGAGAGAGGTTGATCTTTGTAGCTTCCTTTAGTCGCTGCCCCGTGGCTCCAGTTTTTGCCTGTCTTTCAGAACCCTGGAAAGGGAATGGGAAGCAGAAGCACGAGTTACAACAGATCCTCTAATACATCTCCTTCCTCCGAATAGGATCAACTACACCCGAAGTCTTGCTAGCAGCCGTGTCACTAACCACCTCATCCATTATTAAAGAATCTGGCTAAGTGCCTCAGACATTGTTAAAGAGACAAGTCAAACAGGTCTTAACTAAAGCTTTCAAGGCCAGCAAATTCTGGTTTGCTCAAAGTAATGCAGCCAGGAAAACAGAGATTTTGTCCCCACAAACAAAAATTTTATGAGGAGCAAGTCAGCAGTTATGAGGTGCCTCAGCTGGAGCTGCTAAGCACTATCTCCAGCCTTTCCTATCAGCAGATCAAAGGAGAAAAGCAACACCGCAATTATTTTAAGTTTCATAGAACCTGAACGTACATCACATAAATAAAGTTAACATGCGGACATTGAATGCCTTTAGTCTCCCCTTTCCTGCATCTTCTCCAAGGAAAGATACTCCAGTGTAAAGTTTGGGCTAAAGACGCATTTTACCAGCACAATTACATTGGTTCAAAGTGAGTGACGGAGAGAACCTGCAAGTGATGAACTGCATGGTCACAACCCTCTGAAAAACCAAACTCTTGTAAAGACCCAGTTCTGCTGTCCAGAGAGCTCTTTTCAATGTACAATTACACTGGTTCAAAGTGAGTGACAGAGGGAGAGAACCTGCAAGTGATGAACTGCATGGTCACAACCCTCTGAAAAACCAAACTCTTGTAAAGACCCAGTTCTGCTGTCCAGAGAGCTCTTTTCAATGTGGTTTATCCGTTTCATAATTATAGAAGCAAGAGAGCCCTTTTACTGGGAGAGGCTTTAGCTACACAGAAGGCTCTTCCTGGTACACCTCTGATTTAAGGCCTCAAGTGAATACTTCACAGAAGTCAAATGTCAAACAGAAGTCTGGGCTTTAGCTGTGAAACAGGGGACATGCCCTTTACTGTGCCTTCAACAGTGCATACACGAGCAGCGATGCCCACCATGTGTTATGGCAGACCCGGCTGGTCCTACTTACAGCAAGATCGACGAGATGCAGTTTGCCCATGCGCACGTGCATGTTTCCATCAACCCCCTTCTCACTGCACTCAATAGTGATAGTGAAGATGGCGTGTGAACGAGAGCTGTGCTCATTCATGTTTGTGGCACCAACAGAACCTTTTAGTAGAGAGAAAAAGCAATGTCATCTTCAGAAGGAATCACATGCTCCTCTAACACTCTTCCTGCTCTCAGAGGAGACTTATCCCCGCCTCTTTACCCAACCCTGTTTTTCAGAAGATGGAAGAGGGATGTTCAGACTCAGCAGTAAACTGTATTCTTGGGCACTGAAGTTGCAGCACATCTCCAACCTGGGCTAGCAGAAGTGTTACAGCCTGCTGTAGCTCTAAGCCAACCACAGACTCCCATCCCAAGAGCAGCAGTAGTTCTCATTTGTTTCTTTAAGGCTACAAAGATCAGTAGCCTAAGGCATTCACAGCTGATCCCTGAAAACAGCTGTATTTTGAGAAATAACATAGCAATCCATGCCAGGAGCAACAGTAGTCAGAACTTAAGCTCAGATCCTCTTATGACCTAAACTAAGAAGTCTTCCAGAAAACATAAACCACTTCCCGCTCACAACACAGGGCTAGTTGTTCATCCTGATCAGAACCGAAGAGGGAGAGGAACCAAGACACACACCAGTAGTTCTGACAACGCTGACTGCCCTCACTGCATCCTCCCCTTCACCGTTTCCCCCACTGGCCGATGTGGGAGGCACAGCCTTCTTTACCTGTCCCTGCACAAAAGGGGTTTGGGAGGAGATACCCTTTTTGCTCTGCTCAGCTGAACAATCTTTCCAGCATTAGGACTAAGATCTCTTACTGTGGTCTCATAACCAGACCTTTGCTCTGTCTGAGCTATAAACCTGCCCACAGCAAGGCTACGTACGGTTCTTGTGGCCCAGAGTCATGATTCTGTCCATATCATCTGCATTGTTTACGACATAAGCTGAAAGGTCTTTGATATAGACTCCCACATCAGGTCTCTCCTTAACCTAAGAGAGAAACAGTTTAGACTGAGCATCCTTAGGAGATTCCCCAATAGCCAATTTCAGTCGTTCACTCCAACACTCAATCAGAGCAGCTAAGGAACAAAGACTCCTGCAGGACAGTATTCCACTGGTTTCCCCTGGTGGCAAATAGTGACTTCAAATCTCGGGCTGCAGTTCCTAGAAAGACTGCTGAGGGGCCTTTGGGGTAGATCTGCAGGCACAAAACTCACTCAGATGGAACAGCCAGTTTCTCACTATGCAGCTGACCAAGTGGAAAAGATTAGAGGAGTCAGTAGTGGTATCCAGCTACTGTATCTGAAAGGAAACGGTACATGTGCTGAGGAGCCCAACCTCCCACTTCCCTTCAAGTGCTTCTCTGGTCTTTAAAATATAATATTGCTCACCGATTCAAAGCAAACATCACATTCAGAACAGCAGGCTCACCTCTAATCTCTGCGTCTGGTCTTTTCCTAGCAGGTCCCGCACTTCTTCATTGTAAATTTCCAGGTAAGACACACGAACTAAAAACCTGAAGACAAACAGTTGGGGAGCTTTCTTAGCAAGACATTCGTTGAAGTCCAACAAACACAATCAGAGAGTACAAAGAAAATGCCGTGATGTACCAACACAATCCTGCTACCCCCTCAAGAACCGCCTAAGTAGAAGTCTTTCAGCTAGGGCCAGAGGTACCATTTCAGTTGCCATTGTCAAGGTCAGGCTCCTACCACAGATGGATACACAGAAGAGAAGCAGAGAAGAGAAGCTGTTTACCTTGTATCCCCCTCCGCCTTGGCAATGTGACCAAATATATGGGCAAAGGAATTGGGAATGATGCCTCTAAGCTCAGGAACTGCTCGGACCCCTTCCATGGTGAAAGTTTTGCCTGTTCCAGTCTGTCCATATGCAAAAATAGTACCTGAATGATAAGAATATATATGAACAAACTCTAAGAGGTTGCTAACTGCAGTTTTACTTCATCCCTTCTTAGCCCGATGGCACTAAACACCTCTATTTTTATGGAGTTGAAATTTGCCACCCATTCCAGTAGATACTGTACAAGGCTAGGAGCAACAGAAATGCTGGACAACCACAGCAAGCAGGGCTGAGCCACTGTTTTGTTTTTTGTTTTTTTTTTTTAATCCAGCCCGCAAGATATCTAAGAAAAAGTCAGCTTGTTTTAACTGTGCAGAGTGATTAAAATATGGAGCGCTGGTACACTGAGGTCTCACACACAAATAATTAAGGCAAGCCCCATTAATAACATGGTCAATTAGAGGAAGATCATTATAAAACAACTGCAAAACCAACTATTGCTAGTGCTCTACGCCACAGCAGAAACAGTGTGAGGCTTCTACAACAGAGGCCAAAGCACAAGCCCAGTTCTGAACCTGCAGAAGCAGCTACAATTTGGACTAGATAATCAGCCTGCACAGGAAGACATCCAGAAGCTTTACTGAGATCCCAGAGTCTGGTATTCCAGAAATATACTGATTCTGAAGTTTAGCCTAGCACTGCTGAAAACTCACATTTTGATTGTCAAGCCATTGACATTACAGTTCAGAAAAGCTGAATTTTAATCAGCTGAAACCTGGGTGTGTTAGCACAAGAGCTTATTAGGCATTTTACAAACCTTTAAAAACTGTTGTTTATAGCATACTGTTATGGAAAGCAGCAATTTGCTTCCTTACTAGCACCTGCTTTCCTTTACATAATACATTTACATGCATAACAGACACACACACAAATCATGGTCATACTCTTCCCAGCTGTAGGAAGCAAAAGATTATCTGTGGGGTAGGGCAGATGTGTTTAACTAGTCATCTTAGTTTAAAACAGCAAAGTTTAGAGGAGAAAATGCAGCAGTTATATGCACAAGTCTGGTATGCATACCTAGTTACTGCAGGACCGTGGCAGCTGCCTGGTTACTGAAAATGTATAGTGAAGAGCCGCTGAGAATTCTGATAATGAGATAAAGTGTATATCTTTTGCAAACAGAAGATACAGAATAAAAACATACAGCTAACTGACCTCGGCTGAGTCTTGTTCATGACTGATCTCCCACTGTTAACCATCATAGTAAGTACAACCACTGAGTACTCGGAACAGCAAGTACCTTCAGGCTATTTTAAGTTAGAGGCCACAACAGAACCAATACAGGGCTATAGCCCTCAGAAGGTGAAACTCCCTTAAATAAGATCAGCAGCAACAGCAAAAAACAGGAGATGGGATCCTTGACTTAAAACAACAAGGGACTCACCATTGTATCCTTCTAGGACAGAGTCAATAATAGGTCTTGCAGTTAAATTATAGACATCCAGCTGTTTACTCTCTGGTCCAAACACTGTGTCAAACGTAAATGTCTTGGGAGGCTCATTGGATGAGTCTGTTTTATGAACAGTTATAGTTCCTCTCATTTCATCTACGTTGACTGCCATTTTGTAGCCCGTAGCTTTCTCTCGTTCGTTAAGAGGCCGGCATCGAACAACAACCTTGACATTATCACAGCTCTCTGGCTTGTCCAGCTTCTCAGGCTTGTTGATCTATAATTATTAAAAAAGCAAAAATAATACACAGGCTGTAACACTACTATTAACATACCTGTGTGTTTAAGCACAAATGCTGTTGAATCAACTCAAGTAGATGCATACATGTCCATAGGATCATGAACTCGTGGTCTTAAAACCAGAACTGGTTTATAATTAAAGCTGAGAGAATAAAGTACACTTATTCAGTCAACGCAATCTTCTTCTGTTTGCTAACGTGGAAACTGATTGAGTAAAACTTGGGAATTTCACATTTAATATCTATTAATTTCTTCAAGAAACAATCTCACGCTTGCAAACAATCTGCAAGCGGTTCAAGAAACACTCTCACGCTTGCAAACAATCTGCAAGCGGTTTGCTGGAAGTAGGTGCAGCCGTGCCGTTCTTTTACATTAACACTGACTGTGCTCTCTCACTGGAGCACACAAGTCTCAAACCTGACAGATGACATAAGCAGATACCAGAGAGCACTGGCTGAAGGGAATTAATTTAAGTTACAAGCTTCAGTGTACTTGCTGAATTTTAATCATTTAGGAAATTCAAATGCTGCGTTATAAAGCCTCACAAACCTTTTCTTTCACAAAGTAGTTACAAATACAAATTTTGGAGCACCGCTGATTAATTTGATGTCACACGCTTCTCCCGACTAAATAAATCTAAAACGCATTTGATCTAGTAAAGTCTAAGACACTACCCTTGGCGATAGGTGCTGTAGCTGAGCATTTAACTACTTCTAAAGCAGCTATCTTGGATGTCAACAAGAAACAAACCCTGTTTCCAAGCGCCTCTCCCACCAGCTGCCACCTGCCTAGATTCCTCTCAGGCCTCGGCAGAGGCCAGAAGCAGCTTCTCTCGCTCTGGTGAAAGCGGAGAGCTGATTAGTCTCATCCTGGTGGAGGAGGGATCCTGCAGTCCCATTCTACCACCGCAGGTGCACGCGAGTTTCCAAAACCAGCTACAGAACCAGCGAGCCGCAGTGGGCCACACGCTACCTCTGCGCCGCGCTGTCACCCGCAGCCTCCCAGAGGCAGGCGCGCAGGCCGAAGCGCTGCCCGGGCCAGCCCCCAGCCCGCGCCCAGACCCCTCCGGCCGGGCACTGCCCCAGGCAGGGGCATTTGCCTCACCGCGCTTTGCGCCGACAGCGGCGGGCCGTGCCGGCGCGGTAAGCCTGCGCAGCGTCCCGAGGAGGTTCGGGAGCAGAGACCCTCCCGCGAGGCGAGGCGAGGCCAGCCCTCGCCCCTTG